GAAATAAATACTTTTAAAAAAAGTGGAACAGAAACAACTGTTGGTTGTATATGGGAAACGCTTGCAACTAACCTACAGGAGTTCCAGAAAGTTGTGGTAAGTTTAATTTTTTATAAATCATTCGTCAAATCCGAATTGTAAAATATTGGCTTTATGGCTTATTAAATTAAAAAACTTTTAAAATTAATGTTTATTGCAGGATGAATACTCATCAAGTAAATCAAAACTTGAAGTTGCTGTTAGTGTTGTGGTTGAAACTGAAATCATGCCTGTTCTTAATAAACTTGAGAAGGTTTGTGTCTCTTATGATTCTATCTGTTTTTTTAATTTACATGATATGATGATGACTAAGGTGTTTTTAATATCAATTTTTGGTCCATTTACAGAAAAAACAAAAAGCATTGCAGAAGAAGATGCATGAAGAGAGGATTTTGAATAATTTCTGTAGAGTTGGAACCACACGTTCCTGTCGTAGATCTAAGCCTGTCAGTTACACTTTTGGTATGGAAACTTTTGCTTATATACCATATTTTTAATCAAGGTTATTCCATGTAAAATGACCATTTTGCCCCTAAAACCACCTATTGTCACACTTTTTTGTTGTCTCTGAAGTGTTAAGTCCATGTAAAATGATCACTTTGTCTCTAAACCACCTTTGGTGACACTTTTAGTCCCTGCATTGTTAAGTCCATGTAAAATGACCATTTTGCCCCTGAAATGACATTTGGTCACACTTTTTTTGTCCCAGTGGTGTTAAGTCCATGTAAAATGAACACTTTTCCCCTAAAATCACCTTGTTGTGTTAAGTGTAAAATGACGATTTTTGCCCCTGAAAAGACATTTGGTCACACTTTTTTTGTCCCCTTGGTGTTAAGTTCATGTAACATGACCACTTTGCCCCTAAATCACCTTTGGTAACACTTTTCATGCCTTGGGTGTTAACTGTTAAGTACTTAAGTTCATGTAAGTTGACTATTTTCTCCCTAAAACCACCTTTGGTAATGCTTTAAGTCTCTGGCCTGTTAAGCTAATGTAAAATGACCGTTTTGCCCTCATCTTCTTTATCAAAATCCTAAGTTGAACTAATAAGATATTAAAGCAAAAAAGATATACCTTGTGTTTCTTAGACAAGTATAATAATCAGAAACAATATTTTTTGCAGATGAATATGACAAGGCCATTAATGCAGCCATACGAGAGACCAAGTAAGTTGCATTTATTACTATTAATCTTATTTTATTTTCTTCCATCAATATAATATTACTAAACATGTAAAGCTGCATGTATCTATGATCAGGAAAATGAAAACCAAAGAAGAACAGAAGAATCAGAAAAAAGTAACTGCAGTGAAGGAGGATTCGCATACAGAGCAAGATCAGGATGATGATGAGTCCACTGAATCTGACTCTGAGAACAGCAAGCTTGAAAATGGAAATGTTTCTGAAGATAGCAGTCAGGATTCTGGTGAAGAATCACATGAAAAAAATGATGATCAAGAAGAAGAAAACGATGAAGAAGAAGAAGAAGAAGAAGAAGAAGAAGAAATCAAGGATGATGAAAAAGAAGAAAGCAATGATGAAGAAGAAGAAGAAGAAGAAGAAATCAAGGATGATGAAAAAGAAGAAAGCAATGATGAAGAAGAAGAAGAAGAAGAAGAAAACAATGATGATGAGGAGGAAAAGAATGGGAATCATAGCAGTGAAGATGAGTTAGTTGAGAAATCTGAAATTGAAAATGGTAATTTTGTTGGGAAAAAAAGAGGTAGGAATGATGATGATGATGATGATATTGAAGAGATGAGAAACTTTGGTGCAAAGAAAAGAATGAGGCAAAGGCCAAACCGTAATTCCGCCATTGAATCCTCCATTGTTCCTGATTCTGAGGATGAAAGTTGTTCGGGAAATAGTGATAGTTAGAAATGGTATGTACAGTTTCACATGGAGGATTAGGTTTCGTATTGAAAATAAATACGAGTTTTGGAATTTCTTTTTTTTGGAGTAGAGGAGGATTGTAGTATTTAAGAGCATCCTATCGAAGAAGAGGTTAGTAGAGAGGTATATTGATCATTGGATTTGGATCCATCTTTTTTGTTGCTGATTGATTGATAGGATCATACTTAGGATGGTGGTTTTGTTTATCAAGGATTGTGGTTGTATCTTTTTGAGCCTTATATCATGAAATGGCATAGTTCAAAGTTCAAATGGTGTGTGTACCTTTAAGATGCATTTGATGTGGAGTTGTGTTTTTAAGAGGTGAAAAGAATTGTCTTGTATGGATTCCATGTTTAGAAAATGAAATATATATTTAAAGTTACAAATGAAATCTTCACAAGACTAAGTTATGGTATTACTTCATTTTTGATGAGAAAGTCATGTTTTTATAAAAAAGCATATTATTGAATTGATGAAAGTATTGCTAGATGGTTTGTGGAGTACTTTGGATCTTTTTATATGGTCTATGGTAGATGGATAGTACATTTGATGCAAAGAAGGGATGATGAAATTTACAAATTAATAAAGTGAGGAGAAGACAAAATGATAGAAAATTGAAGGTATATAGAGGAAGAGAGAGTAAACAAAGTGAGGAAAAGACAGATCTTATTTAGAAGTAATCTCCACATCTGACCTCCTTTTATCCTTGACTTTTTGTGATTTGGATTGTGTTGTTTGAGTTTATAATGGTATTGGTTGGCTAACAAAGTTTTTCTAAGGCTATCCGCTATAAGGAATGGTAACATCCTTAGCATGTTGTCATATAAGATTTTTTAAAGACACATAAGATAGAGAGAATTGTAACATCCAAATTGTAAAAGATAGAATGGTAAAACCTAAATGTTGTGTTATTTTTATTGTGGAAAAAAATAAAATAAAAAGACAAGCATGCCAATCATAGCCCTTTCTCTTCTCTTCTCTTTAGCCAACCTTAGCGAGACATATAGCGTGTTTGATGGGAGTGGTGGAGACGAGCTCCCGGCAAGGCCTAACAAGGAGCTTCTGAGTTCAATCGTAGACATATACTAACTCGATGTGGGTTTTTTTTTTATTTTTTTATTATATTTTATTTTATTTTAATTTAGCCTAAAAAGGTTAAAAGTTATTTACTTAAATAATAGATAGATATCTAAGATATAAAAACGCGGAGATAGTAACTCAAAATTTATTATATGTATGTTCAGAGAATTTTGAAAAGTAGATGTTAACTTTTTTTTTTAGAAAAAAATAATATTAAGAGAAATTAAATACCCTCCTACTTATTTATTTTCCTATTATCTTCAGATGATTACAAATATAATAAAAATTTATTAATTATATTAAATATGACAAGTGACAACCTTAAATGAGTCATAAGAGGAGAAAAAAAAAATAAGAAGATATTTGGTTTCTTGAAAATTAAAGATAAATCTATTTGAATTTATAAAGATATTTTGATAAGTGATCCAAAAGGCCCGTGGCCATTAGTATCAACCTTAAGAATAAGTTAAGATTAACTTCAATAGATATATTTATAAGTAAAATAATAATAAGTTTATGAGTTTGTTCGTACTAAAAAAAATTAACTTCAATACATTGGAGAGTTCTTTATAAAAAACTCTTTCTTAAATACTGTGGGAAGTTTCCCAAGACTTCTAAAAGAATAATCTAAATTCTTATACGAGACACATGCAAATTATTTTTCATTTATATGGTATTTGTATGAGTAAATAGCATAAAAAACACTCCGTTTACACCAAAATTCTAATTTGACACCGTGTTTTTTTTTGTATCAAATTTGACACTGTGTTTTCCAATTTGTTACAATTCTGACCACTTAACCGGTTAACCAGTTTACATGCTGACGTGACATGATGATGATGTGGCATGCTGACGTGTCAAAATTGAATTTTTTTTGCACAAAAAAAACTAACCTGGTTAACCGGTCAAGTGGTCAGAATTATAATAAAATGATTAAAATTACAAATTACAAATTATTTAACTGATTACATATTTAAACTAAAAATCATTTTTTGTGTGTTAAATGAACAAAATAACACTTTATATCATGTCATTATCAATTTAGACCATATTTTCGTTCCATATTTAATTTAAACACTTTATCTATTTGATTGACAACTTATCATAAATTCAACAAATCTTTAATTACAAATAAATATTCAAAATGAACAAAAGCTAACATATTTTTGCTATTTTATATAGGGATCCCTTTTATATATCATAACATATATACATTGTTGGAAAATTAAAATCAATATAAACCAAACAGTTATCCTATGCATTTAACATGTTTTGTTATATAATTTCTCACATGCTTTATTAGTTAAAGCAAAATGGATGATTTAAAATTTAAATCATTTCACATAATATCATTCGTAGGGGACGATTCACTTTAGATTAAAAAAAATAAAGATTTTAAGATTCAACCTCATCCAAATATTTCTCATTTGCCGCTCTAATGTTTCATCATACTTGCAGCCACGATGTCTGCCTAATCATAAATGATTTTATGACAGAGATGTATAAATATAATCATATATAATTATATATGTTTATACGTATATGCCTAATCATAAATGATTATACATATATGTCTATTCACAGATTGAGTAATCATATATGATTATAATGATTGGTGGCAGAAGAGATGGTGGTGGCAGAGGTGGCGGTGATATAAGTGACGGAGGTGTCAGTTGTGGGGTCGGCTTGTGGCAGAGATAGTGGTAGTGGTGGTGGCGCTGGCGGTTATGGTGGTGGGGAAGGTGGCGGAGGTGAAAGGAACGGACGACAGATGTGAACTATATGGTTGAGGTTAAATATCAAGATCTCTATTTTATTTTGAATCTTAATGGAAAATATATCTCACAATTCAAAAGTTTCTGAAAATAAAAAATTTGAATCAAAATTTAATTTATAAAAATAATATAAATATATTATTTAAGTTAATTAATACATTATGTTAATTTCTTTTTTGGGTGGGCAACGTGTATGGAAATGTGTTGGACTCGATGATAATAACTGAGTTGCACAGCTCACCGCCTACCACGATTCACTTTCCTGAATTACATGGCGACGAACGGTGGAACTGTCAGGGACGCAGCCGCTCGACGGCGGCGAATCGCCGAGAGAGGAGCGGAGCGTTTGGCTCTCATCACTGGTCGTGCCCAGTCCACATCATTATCATCATCTCCGTTGCCTCCTTCTGTAGTCGAGTCGCATCACTCTTCTACTGCACCATGCCCTCCTTCCATTCCTCGGAATCCTGATCAATTTCCTCTCTTAGGTATGTGTTTCTTTGAGATATATTTCTTGTCCACTTTTTCTGATGATTAATTTCTTGCAAGGAGTTCTGCTGTGTTTATCTGTGTGACCGTGTATTCGTTCGTGATTTCTGATATTTTGTCAAAATTTTAATCGAAGAAGCTAATTCGATTCTTTTAGTTTCCTGTAAGCCCTCTATATTGATTGATGCGCGTGTACTTATCAACTGTTTTGGTAACTTTCTGTTGATTCTGTTAGATCCATGTTTGATTGATGCTATACCTAATTGGTGGCAAGTTGGTTTCAATTGAAAGCCATTGTTGACAGACTATTGGAATGAATAATGGTAGTAGATGTCAAGGGGATTAAATCCAAATATAGATATACTATTCATTGTCATTCGATTCACCTGTATCTACCATCCCAACTCTTGATTTCATCGACATAAAACTGTCATCATAGTTCTGAATAAGCATAGTGACTCATTTTTGCAGATGAACACAACGATTCCCCTTCAATCACAAAGCCTGCAATTGATGATGTCCAAATAACCAAAACATCTGTAGAAGCATCTTCATCACCCATCAAAACACAATCTTTTCCCAATCCCACCACAATAACAGAACAACCTCCATCAATCTCAACCTCAAACAAGTCAAAATCAAAAACCAATCTTGGTCAAACTCTCACCCCTAATAGGCTACGCCCTGCTATTACATCATCACAAAACACCCGAACATACTGTTCAATCATAGCTGCCCTGTTAGTCCTATTATCATATGCAGGCTTCCCTATTCTGGGCAACAACTCTATAAAGTATATCATACTTTCAAGGCCACTTGTTCTACTTCTATTGACCAATATAACCTTGGTGGTTGCACCTGTTCTCTTGGAAAAAGTCAACCGGGAAGGACACAGGGGGTCTTTGACTGGTGAGGTGGGTGGTTTTGGTGATCAGTTGGGTATGGCTTTGGAGTGGGGTATGTTGATGAAAAGTGGTTTAAGTGCTTTGTTCATTGATTGTAGTATTTACTCAGTGGTTCTTGTTTGTGGTATGTCCTTTCTGAAGAAATTTGGGTGGTAGAATACATTGTTTATGAATCTTGATGTGTTTTAGTCAGATTTATTGTTTTCTTCTTTTGAAATAGAGAATGTGATTTCATTGTATCAAGTTGCATTTTAATAGCAAAGTACTTCATGTTAAAAGTTGCTATATTTAGTTGAAATGTGTATGTACATTGGTATTATTGCTAGAAGTTAAATTACTTTTATGTTGCTATTTCTCCTAAATGTTGTTGTTTGATCTTGTGTTTGAAAGATTGTATACAATTCGTTTGGGTTCATGAACATACACAATCCTTGAGAAATCCAAATCCTCGGATTATCAAATACCTTTTTTGGTTAACCCCATTTTTCTAGCAATAAGTTTACCAATTACTTGAATGAGATTTTAATTACAATGACATATCATGAGTTAACATGTTTTTATGCAATGCCACATCGACGGTATATTACAAGTATAAAATGACATTGCATAAAAGCATGTTGGGAACATGACGTGTCAGGGTAATTATCTTTTTCGTTTTGTTTACGTTTAGGTATTTTTTTTATAAGTACACTGGACCATTTAACTTGTTAAATGTGTTAACATATTACCATTGTTACCTGCTATCTCAGGTTACAATGATAACATGTGAAAACATTTAACAAGTTAAATGGTAAAATATGTATAAAAAAAAGAACGTTGTCTAAATGTGAACAATTTTTTTTTACAAATTTCTTAAATTTTTTTATAATTTGTTACAACATTTTTAAGATATTTTTATAGGTTTTTCTAATACAATGGTTTAAACTTCGTTTATAATTTTTTTAACATTTTTTTTTATGCTTTCATATAATTTTTATACACCTGCTTTTAAACCGATTATTTTCTAAATGTTTTAAACTTTTCTTACAAGTTTTTAATTTTCTTTTACATTTTCATACAATTTTTTTGTAACTTTCATACAACTCTTTCTAAACTTTCTTTACAACATTTTTAAAATGCTTCATCGTTTTTGTATAACAATTTAATACCTTTTTATAATATTTTAAAATACTTTCGTTAAATACAAGTTTAGAACGTCGTATTAAAAAAATTAATTTTTTTATAAACTTCTAATTATAAAAATATAAAAAAATTGTAATAATTTTAAAACATTTGCATTATGAAAAATTAGAAACTAGATTGCTATTTCTTGCATTTTACCCTCTACATAATTAGGGAAATTTGTCTTAATAAAAAAAAAAAAAAGAAGAATCAAACTAAATTCCTTCCACAGGTTGTTACACAATCAACAAAGTCTCATGTGTTGGATAAAATACATGTCTATAGTTCTCAAAATGAACAATAGTTTGTAACCTTATTACAAAATACCAACTTCTTAACAAAATTCAAAACCCAAAAACCTGCAACTCAACCCCTTATGATTACTTTAAAATTCTTTTCGTAAACATCTCACAACAAATTATGAATTAGCAACCAATTCATCATGATGAACAACTTCAACATCTTCACTCCCTTCTTCAATCTGCTCAATTTTGGGACACCAACCATACGCCTCCCTTCTTGCATCCCTACGAGCAACCCTCTGTTGAATTCTCATCTCTTTAAACTCCTCTGCAAGCTTGGTTTCCTCTTCTTGTGGAAAGAAAACAACCTCCATGTTTCCAAGCTCTTGATACATGTTCTCAATCTTGGCTTTCCATAAGAGCCCCATTTCAGTGTCCATCTTCTTGTAAGGTGTCTTTAGTAGATACTCATCAATTCCACCTGCTTTGTCTATACAACGAAGAGCATGCGTTGTTACTTTTACTCGAATGTGTCTATCAAGAATGTAACTGAACAGCCTCTTTTCTTGTACATTGGGCTTCCAGTTCCTTCGAGTCCTGTTACAACAATGTTCTCGAATCTGTTTATTTTTGACTTAATTGGTTAAGCACTTAATCTGGATTTGAGATTCTGTATGAGATCGATTGTTATTAGTGTAACTGAAGTTCAACATAATCAAGGTTTTGAGTGATTAGCATTTTTAAACCATTTTAAGCACCTAATGACTAATTGATTTCTCCTAATAACTGCAAATAGAGTATAATAGAAAATTCTCAATTGATTTCTCTAAAGTCTAAACTATGCGAGATTGAGGAACAAATAAGGGACAAAGACAGTGTGTACTAACTTGTTTCCACCTTTCTCGCTGACTTGGTTGCCGAATTGAATATGACGGCCGGCGAAAATTCCACGCTGGGCTCTCCCCATCACCACCTTGCTGTCCGGCAAACATTTCTTCAGTGATTCTTTCACTCCGGGATCCAAATTCTTCTCGCCTCCTATCTTCTTCATTATCTTCTTCACCATCTCATTCGACCTGAATGCCATTCTATTTTATTTCTGTGTTCGTGTTGATGAAAGATCCTATTTAGGTCACTGTGTTTGGATCAAGAATATGGTTTGCTTGGAACGTTTGGGGTTTTAGGGTTTTTTGAACTAGCGAAATTTCACTATGTACGTGACCAAGTAAATTACATAACTCGTCCCTAGCTATAAGCTAATACACATTTGCACTTTGGTTTCTTAAATTTCAATTTCTATAGATAGTATTATGACAGTTACATAAATGGTCCTTATGGTTTGGTGAAATAGATACATATAGTTCAATTTTAAGAAACAGTTTCTTAAATTTCAATTTCTATAGACAGTATTATGACAGTTACATAAATGGTCCTTATGGTTTGGTGAAATAGATACATATAGTTCAATTTTAAGAAATAGATATTGCGGAAATAGTCCTTCCAACACACAAAGTCAAACAATGCTGTCAGATTTATGTAAAATGACATTTTTACATAAATTTTTTATTACTTTTCTAAACCTCATGGACATTGTCTTATTAAAATATATCTCACCCTTTAAATTCTGCTTCCTTCACATCTTCCGTAGGGAGGAAGTCGTCATCTCCGACCACTTTGTCATGCTTCAATTTTTAAGCCCAACTCTATAATTAAACCAAATAAAAAACTGAAACAAAAAATAAACCTAAAATAAAACCCAATGAAATCAAAGATCCACCGTTCCATAGGACAACTGGGATGCAATAATATGAAAAAGACCCAGACAAAACTTGAAATACGACCTACTGAATTTATATTTAATAAAGCAAAATTAAAGCACTCAATTTTGAAGCACTTTCAGAATCAAAACCTTTGATTCAAGTTACTGAAATGAATCAACTCTATGAAATAAGGATACAAATCCAAAACAACATACACATACATACTCACAATCTATGTCTCTCTATATCAATATCTTTTGTGATGCTTCTTTCCCTCTCAATCAACCTTTGTCTCACTTATGATTTGGAGAAAAAAAATAGGACTTTGACCGAGGAAAAAGCTATGTTGAATAAGACAATGGAACAAAATATATCGAATCTGGTCCTTCTTGTAAACTAATTTAGAGAAAAGTCGCCGTCAGCCGTCATGACTCCCTAAACTTAAGTGCATCTGATTTGGAGTTGCAAATATTTGGGTAAGAAATGGTCATCGACAGTGATGGGTAAGATGATGTTGTCAGTGGTGGTGGATAAAAGGAAATCGCAATTGGTGGTAGGTAAGAGGCGTTTTTCAATGATAGTCAAAGGTCCAACCATTTAGGGTTCTTCATTTAGCTGAAAAAAGAAAGAAGGGAATAAAGGTTTAAGAGGAGGGGTAGGGACGAAGGGTAAAGTTAGGGCGGGTCCCTGGAGTTTAGGAAAATAATCACGAAATACAAAAAAAAAAATGAAAAAGTAAAAAAAGGGTAAAAATGTCATTTTATAGAAAATTAACAACATTTTTTTATGTCATGTTTCGGAAGGACAATTTATGTAATATCAACAAACCATACCGGTCGTGTTTGCCTATTTTCTTGAAGTTGGACCATATGTGCCTATTTCGCCAACCACATGGACCATTTATATATTTTTGTTTAGTATTATTATTGCGAGTATTCAATAAAATTGCTACATTAGAAGGTTTTAGGCAATTAGATAACCAAGTTTTTTTTTGGATTTAAACATCTTTGTAAACTTATAAGAACAAAACTTGTAACACCCGTTTCCCTGTGTAGGCCACCTGAGAGCTTGGAAGAATCAAATGAAGGATTTGTGGGAAAGATGAGTGCCACAATGGCCACGAAATGGCATGAAATATATAAATGCATGTTTTGGATGGCCACCACAACGTGACAATGGGTAGCCACGACGTGATAGCTGGTGCAGCCCAAGCCCACAAAGTTTTAGGGTTTCTGCCATATTTAAGCCCCAAAATTTTAGGTTTAGGCCATCCTCTTCAGCCTCCACCTCCCCAGATCAAAACCCTAGTCTCCATGCATGCTTGAGAGTCAATTTCCTTGATTTTGAGCCTTGTTCTTGGGCTTTTGGTAGAGCTTTGGAAGATGGAAGTTCACAAGGAAGCAATGGAACAAGAAGTAAGTTTGGATCCAACATTCTCTTTAGTTTTCTGAGTTGTTAAAGGTATAAAGTTCATACCTTGACACCTTTTCTTATAGATTCAAGTTCTAGGTCATATTTGGGTGGTTTTTGTCCCTTTCTTGGATGTTCTTGGAGTTTGAAAAACTCCAGAACTTGTGGTGGCTTTCCTAGGTCCTTGGACTTCTGTTGATTGAGAAAAGTACCATGCTTGGTGTATTTTGTGTCCATGTTCAAGTTATAGCATCATTAAGGACTTAATGGACTTTTAATGCTAGATCTAGCCTTAGAATGGAGTCCTAATGGATAAAGTTGGAAATTTTATCCATTAAGTCGGGAAGGAAGAGTAGATCTGGAAGTATGATGTAACATACTATTTTTACATTTACAATAGAATTCAATATAAACCGTCGTTTATATAATTCAAAATAGAAATATATCAATTTATATCTAAAGTAATTGTCATAAATGTGTAGCAAACATCGATACGAACGCCTGAATCCGACTTTGTATGAAGAAGTTATGCTTCTTCGAAGTTCTGTGATTAAATCAATACGACTATGCACGTTGTAAAATACGAATCATAGATAGATCACTTATTAGCCTAAGCAATTTAAATGAAAGCCGTAGTAATCATAAAACCAAGAGTGTGCATATATAGAACGTCCAAATCTAACTTCGCTTGAGGAAGTTATGATTTTCAGAAGTTTCAACACAGAAACTGAAACAAAGTTCGGTCGAGTGTTAGGAAAAACAATCTAAACAAGAGTCGAAGATCTCGTCCATACCTATCCGTCGATATAAAGACAGCCGAGAACATGATACCGTATGAGAAAGTTATGATTTTTACACGGACTTTAACAGTCTAAGCCTGTGAAAATACAACTTTAAAAATAAAGTCAAAATTTGCCGACGGAGTCTAAACGAAAGTTGTAGATCTCGTCCATAGCTATGCATGAATATAAAAAGTGTCGAAAACGGAGCTCATATGTAGAAGTTATATAATTTTTAAGAAATAAGAAAACCTCTCGCGTAGCCGCGTGCACAAACTAGATGCGCGGCGCGCCTGACACCCCTACCCGAATCGTGACACGTGTCACCACCCGTTGCTCGCTAAGTCATCACTTCCAGCAGATGCACGGTCTGCACCCCTTCCTAGCCTATATATATCTTCATTTCAGCTCATTTTTCTGCACACCATTCCTCCGATTCTCTCTAGAATACTTTCTAGTTTTTATCCCTTTACTCCCTAGTTCTCGGCTACTTTAGCGAGGCTCTGCGACATCGAAGAGATGAAGATTAGTGATGGATTTAAGTTTCATTATCAGATTGTCATAGGAACTGATAAGCTATAGTATTCTAGGTTAATATCTATTAGACACATTACCCGTTATGTCGGAGGGGATATCTGTCAATCGTCGGAGTAATTGTCCAGGTGAGTTATCTCATTATATCATGTGTTATAATATGTATCCATGTATGTTAGGACATATAATAGAGCTGATAGTATAGCCTCTATGTGCTTGTATCAATAGAACTTAATGTGTAGTTTCTATGTTTGGTTATATATGTCGGGCGGGGCCCACCATGTAGTTTGGGCGGCGCCCGTTATGTATGTTGGTTTGGGCCCATTAGGTAGTTAGGGCGGGGCCTATTATGTAGTTTGGGCAGGGCTTATTTGTATACATGTATATGTATTGTGGTGTATGGTATCTTGGGAAACTCATAAGCCTAACACTTACCCAATTATTTACAAATGTTTTCAGGTGCTCATGTGAAGTGCAAGGTTCGACTGTATACACACGCATTCATTACATGTTTCCACACAATGTAATCACACTGTGATATATATTTAAATTAATAAAAATGAAAAGTTTGGGTTGAAAATCGAGACATTACAAGTTGGTATCAGAGCCCTTGTTTGAGCGAACTAGATGAACACTCGTGTGATTCTAGACTCAAACTAAGGATTTGAACAAATCTTTTTCATAGTAAGAATAATAAAAAAAAGGAAAGAATGCGATGTGTGCAGTCAACCATAGCTCAGAAAGGAAAATGATTCTCAAAATATCCATATTGTTATGTTTAGTGATATGTGTGAAATGTTAGAAATGCATGCTAGTATGTAGGCTAGAGATCTTTTCAGGAATTGCTGCTTAGGATTGCCTGATAATTAAGATGTCTTAGAACATAGAGATTTCTTTGTTAATTGTTGCTTAGAAACTATATTAATATGCATTAGTTATTTGACAAATATGCTAGGTTGCATGCTCCCAGAATTAAACAGTTTTAGATTGCTTGATTTGGCGCTATAACACAACTCTTGTCTAAGTTTAACCGTCATAGCGTCAGATCTTTTAGTTGACAAACTGTTTGATTTTAGAGGCATGTAATCGTATTCGTCTGATAATTAGTTAATATTATTAGAAGTTATTCTTCGGCTAAATAAATAGAGAAGTGGAAAAGAATCCTAGAAGAATACTCTAGGAAGTTTAATACACGCTTGATGGGGCATATATTCGTAAGATAGGGCATCGGTAGAGACGCAAGATCTGAGTGAAGTTTAGGAAATAAATAATTGGGTACTTGGAACACCATGTGTGTGAAAAGGCCTAGAAAATAGCAGAGTGTAATGACTTGGAAACCTTGGAGCAATTCTTGGATCTAGTAAGGGTAGGTGTGGAAGGTAGTATGAGCTCGTACTACCGGGAACACATGATCCATATAGGAATCAAGAAAAGCCACAAAGTTGCTAAGGAACTGGAGAGGGTTATAATATCCCTTTAGAGTTAGTTCGACTCGTATTAACCTATTTCCATTATGCCTTCAACATGGTAATGATCATGAGAGAAAGCGGGTCGGGTTCTGGATCTAAAGGGTCAGGACCAAGCGAGGCAGATATACGTGAATGTATAGAGGCGTTGGTATCAGCAGCTGTAAGAGAGATAATTCTGGAAAATTTTGGAACTATTAAGATTGAACTGATAGCTTTGTTTAATGAATGGTACGGTGTTGTTTCCAGTACCGTTGCCGCCGCAGCCACCCACAGGTACTGCTGCTGTCGCTGCTGCAACTTCACATGGAGAGAAAGAAATGCCTTATCGATGGTTCAACAACACTAAGCCCCAAGAGTTTGATGGTGTTAGAGATCCAATTGTTTCCATGAGGTGGATCTTGGATATGGAAGGATGCTTTTACACTTGTGCTTGTCCGACGAATCTAAAGTTCAGATACACACAAAATCTTCTACATCTAGGAGCAAAAGACTGGTGGAAATTTGTCACCAAAAACTATTCACTAGCGGAGAAGAACACAGTGACTTAGGAACAGTTCGTTGAGAAGTTCAAGGCAGAGTATGTTCCAATAGTAGAAAGGGATCTACTCACTCAATAATACATGTCACTTAAATAGACCACTGAATCAGTGACTGAGATCACTAAGATGTTCACCGAAAGGGCTCTGTTTTGCCCAAAATATGCCTCATCAAAGAAAAGTGCATATGTATCGATACTTAAACATGCTCAAAATGGATATCAATGAGTTTATTTCGAGTAATTGATACAAGACCTTAGCAGAGATGCAAGAGCATGCCAGGATAAGGGAAATTGAGTCGGAAATTAAACGAAAGGAAAAGAGGAAGATTCCAGCTCTATCTCAGCCATCAACCAATAAATTCAAGGCCGACGAAACGAGGTTTGGAGGACAGACAGATCCACAGTGTAACAGGTATGGAAAGTCCCACGAAGGATTTTATCGTGCTTTGATATGCTTCAAGTGTGGTAAGGAGGGGCATTACAGCCGAGACTGTAAGCAAGAAGCACATGGAGTGCGTATCTGTTTCCACTGCAACGAGATAGGTCACATCAAAGCCAACTGTTGTAACATCCCGGTCTTCAGGTATTTTCAAATATCTCCTTTGGTTTTAAATAATGTCATTTTGGTCCTTGGATTGTAAGGAAGTAGCCCTAAGAAGCCCTAGTGGCAAAAAGGTAATTTTGGAAAAGGGAGGTGTACGCTAAGCGTACATGTGAGTACGCTAAGCGTACTAGGGCGCGCCCTAGTATGATGGGAGTATACATATGTATGCTGGGCGTACTTATGTCCGAGTGAAACCCTAATTTTTAGGGTTTGTGGGGTATTTAAGAACCTTTATGGATCATTTAGCCTCATCTTTTCAGCCT